TTAATAAGAAATTATGTATTACGTGAAATCATATAAAGAAATACATTAGAGTTGTAGCGGTAAATAAATTCCCAAAATAAATAGCTCTGTAAGTCTTTGACATTGGATGTCGACCACATTAGTTATAATGGACTCACCTAGTTGAAGGCACTCGATCATGCATCCGCACCAGATCACGAGTGGGAACACCGTGCTCAACATTCATTGACTGCTGAATTGTGTCTTGTTTGTCTAACCGTTTAGCATTGTCAGTATAGGGGTTGTGGAAATTATTAAGTTTTTGATTGAGATCATAAACCGATTGGTGTTAGACCACCATTGAAAACATGGAGTCCCATAATAGGACGAAACGGTCATCCAGTGATTCCAGGTTTTCAATGGTAGTCTAACATCAATCGGTTCATGATCCCAATAAAAAATCTTTACATATAATTGAATTTAGTTTAAATATTGATTTTCTTGTCTACATTAAAATATAAAAGTTAGACAGTCTCCTAAATACTATTGTTCTGTCCTATCTATGGAAACGATTAAATATACGTCAGTTCATTGTGAATTAACACTTAGGTTCCTCTCTATTTTTTAGTAACTGAAATTTAGAAAGTTTCACTTTAAATGTTAAATTGTCTTAATATATACCGGCTCATGGCCCTAATGATTAAGCACTCGCTCACGAGACTAATAGGTCCTGGGTTTATATTTTAGGAGGCGGGATCGTGAACGGATTCCCCAAACCCTTTCTGATATCATCAATAGATTTTAAAAGTAGTAAACAAAAATTACTCATATACAACTAGTTGAACACTACACATCTATATACTTAGATTTAGTTTTAAAATTGTATATTCCAAAACTTAGGTCACATTTCTAGATTAAATTCACCTAATTTATTTATTTTAATGCATAGTGAATTTTGAATTATTGTAAGTAGTCAGAGAGGCTAGAGCTGACATGTGTGAGCGCACGTTAGAGAGAGAGAGTTGTCATTTCTGATTGTTCTTAGCAATCCATTCTCGCTCTCTCGATATCCCTCTCTCAAACACACATATATATATATATATATATATATATATATATATATATATATATATATCTACACATACACACAAATTCATTTATTATGCACACAATATCCAATAATTGAAATGTAGTTGTATGTGAATATCGTTCATCTATTCGCATTCTAGGTATCACTATACAAGTCAGTATATATATATGACAAGTGATTTCTTCTTGAAACTAGTACACCGTTAGAAACCAATGACCTTTTATTGACAATCATCGATATCATTTGAATGCCAGTTTTTGGATGATATTTAAATAATTTGAATATTGAAACAAAAAAGAGATAGTTATGGTGTACAGATTGAAAGTGAAATTGATTATCTTTTTATAGGATTTATTAATTATGCTTTCTAGTACTTGTTCTGACATTTTTATGAATAAACTGTATATTTCAATAGTTGAAATCATGAGTCAATTGAAACTAGACCACTATGGAAAACCTGGAAGTAGTGGACGCTCGTTTCGTCCTATTGTGGGACTCCTCTGTAGTGCTCATCTATGATCCTGCTTTGTGAGATTCGAACCCAAAACTTATCGTTTTCATAATGGTGCTTCTAGGTTTTACATGGTGGTCTAGCTTCCATTGAATCATGATTTCACCTATTGAAATTTCTAAAAAAATCTCCATAAAACCCCTTCTGATAAAACTGTATATTAACAAAATACTGACTGACTAATAGATAGAGAGTAGAAAGATTTATACCAAGGTTGATATGTTCAATGAATTTACCACTGAATAATGACTAATGATTTATTTATCTAGATCTGTAGTACCATTCAAATTCTTTCATTGAGATCATGAACTGATTGATGTCAATCAAAAACGCAATAATCTCCACAACCCATATACTGATAATTACCATGTACTCACTAATGATTAGCTTCGTGAGGTAATTCTCGGAGTTCTAGTGAGAAGCTGTGACTAGTGCAGCTAATCCGTGTCGGGTAGAGACAGGTATCTATCTCAGTACAATGGAAGACGGTTACACAATTTGGTGGATTGGTTGAAGTTAGACATTAACATCGTTGGATGCCAACTCATTGGTCTGGGGTTTAAACGTTCACTTGCGAGACTGAAGGCCCTGAGTTTGAATCCCGCTAGGCGGGATCGTGGATACCCTCTGCGGCGGAGTTCCATAATAGGATGAAACGGCCGTCCAGTGCTTCCAAGTTTTCAATGTTGGTCTAACACCAATCGGTTCATGATCTCAATCAAAACTTAACCCTATACTGACAAATTCTTTCAATTAAGTCGTTATATTGGCTACTAGTCTAACCGAGGTTCAAGGTTTTCTGAAGATTATTTTTAACCACCTAACTAAAGAACAACTAATAAATCACATAGAAACTGATAATTCATTTTAGATTTTTACTGACATTTTATAGTATTACAACAGAAAACATTACAGCTTGGTTATCTGGAACTTTATGATAACAATAGAAATATCTCTCTAAAGTAATTGATTGGTTCATGGATTCTCTATTTATACCAGTACAATTAAGAGAATACTCGAAAAAAGTCCTTTGAGATCTATCTTAGCTAATATAATTATTAAGATAACAACTAAATCACTGATAATTTGTCATGTTTTATCAACTAGTTTGAATGCTGAACTTGAAGAATATCAAAACTCCCGATACTGTAAAAACAAATGATGTTCCTTTATGAAACTAAATCTGGCTAACTCTTTTCTTAAAGTGATAGCTTCTGAAAAGAACAAGAAATTATCAACTGTAATCACATAATGGTGAGTTTTTTTTTAATATAAGTGACTGATCCTTCAGAACTGTGCCTCTATAGACATCATCCAACAGATGATGGATACTATTCTATCTGATTTTTTCCGAGAATTCAAGACTCACATTTTATCCTATCTATGACTTAGCGGATGAATGTATTTGCATCTCAGAGTTGATGTTTATTTAGAAATTCGAATTTAACATCGTTAGCATTATCAGCATTGAGATGCGTGCAGATTCAGATGAAGTTCCAAATAAGACAAAATGCACATCCTAGATTTCATTGTTAACCACATTTCATCTATTCCATAGAAACATGTGACATAATGGCTATGTTGAGTAAATCCATACAAGATGAACACAAGCCAATTAAGATTGATTAAAATTCAGTCAAAATATCAATAATGGGTTAAGTGGAAACCATTACGAATTGAAGTAATCACTTATTCTAATGATATTCTATTTAGTGTCATATTTCAAAAGTAACTTGACATTCGAATTCGATCAAATGAAAATGGGTTTCAGATTTAATCTGAGAAATGTCACTTTTTTATGTCTGTGAGATACATGGAATTGAATTCTAGTACCAAATAGAAGGAAATTCTTATTTTATCTATCATCAATACTAAGTTGACATTATTGCACATAGTACATCAGCTAAGATAACCTTACCATTCAAAATCGAAAAGATTGTAAAACTTCTGTAAAAGTTATTTCTAAACACTAATCATTTAAGTGGACTGATAAGCTAAAATGAATACAGATATCGTTATGTAAAGGGTAATTACATGTTCAATTCAACTTATGTAGCTTATATTAGTCAATTGTTAGTCTCTATTATCCTCCCCCCATACAGATGATTAACCTGTGCTTACTACTGGAGACCATATTCATTAAGTAATTCTAGGAGTTTTAGTGAGAAACTGTGACCAGTGATATTTAACCATGTCGGATATGAGATAATTGCATGCAAAAGACAGTGGAAGCTTCTGGCACAATATTGTGAATTAATTAAATGTAAACATATACGCCAATAGATACTATATGAGTCGTCCAAAAGTTATACTTTCACTAAGAAACATAAACTTCCTGGGTTCAACCTCCAATAGGATAGATGATTTATATCACTGATAAACTTTCATTTAAATTTTGATTGATTAGTTTCAAAGTATTTGGGCGCCAATTTAATGTGAGACATTTGCAGAACTATAAACTTGACTAATTATATAGGTCATGATTTTCGGTTAGAAATTTAAGGAATCAATGTTTAGGTCATTCATTAGTGAGTGAACAACGGTGAATGTTTACGCAGATGCTTTTATTGTGTGTGTGTGTGTATGTGTGTGTGTGTGTGCGGGAATAGTAGCTCCATTATGAACTAATATCAGTTAGTGTAGTAACTTTATTTTCATAATCTTTGTACTTACTCTTCTTTATACTACTTATGAATAGCATAAGTTTTTGTACTGAATTATTATATTACTATTCATCATTAAAAATTTAGAGTTATATAATTTATCGGTGAGACTATAATTTATGGACGACCTTTGAACGACGCATTCGTAACCTTGAGAGTGTCCACCTAATAACCATGACCAAATGAGAATTATGAAGGTGTGCAAGGAATTATAATTATAATTTACAGTTGATGATTAAGGTTAGAAATTAGATTTAGGGTAAGATGGTGGTTGGAGGTAATCAACAGGAAACCTTGAACCCGGGGTTTCGTGCTACTTGGCACTCGTCAGCAAGACGTACCTATAGTCTTGAAGGAAATGACGCTACCTGACGGACTCGATCTCGTGTCACCAAGTTTCACAATCAGAGACGTTACCCCTAAGCTATCTGGGCAGCGACCGACCTCACAATTGATTGATCACTGAGTGGTGATCAATGTCATATGTGTCAAGTGAATTTCACATCAAAATCCGAGATCTGTTATCTTATACCTGATTGATTCGTCCATAAATTATAGTCTTGCCAATTTATCTCTTTGAAAAACAAACTATCATCTCTTGAATAAAAGTAAATAACAGAATGATAATGATATATTATTGGTTCGATTTTCGGCACTGAAAATTAATGATATCCTACGTGAATATGTGCATATATTAGTTTCTATGCTTTATTATATAACATTTGAATTGGCATCAACTGAAACAACATGTTGACCTTGAAAGAAGTTTGGCAATCAAATGTCCGATTCATCATCATCATCATCATCATCATCATCATCATCATCATCATCATCATCATCATCATCATCATCATCATCATCATCATCATCATCATCATCATCATCATCATCATCATCATCATCATCATCATCATCATCATCATCATCATCATCATCATCATCATCATCATCATCATCATCATCATCATCATCATCATCATCATCATCATCATCATCATCATCATCATCATCATCATCATCATCATCATCATCATCATCATCATCATCATCATCATCATCATCATCATCATCATCATCATCATCATCATCATCATCATCATCATCATCATCATCATCATCATCATCATCATCATCATCATCATCATCATCATCATCATCATCATCATCATCATCATCATCATCATCATCATCATCATCATCATCATCATCATCATCATCATCATCATCATCATCATCATCATCATCATCATCATCATCATCATCATCATCATCATCATCATCATCATCATCATCATCATCATCATCATCATCATCATCATCATCATCATCATCATCATCATCATCATCATCATCATCATCATCATCATCATCATCATCATCATCATCATCATCATCATCATCATCATCATCATCATCATCATCATCATCATCATCATCATCATCATCATCATCATCATCATCATCATCATCATCATCATCATCATCATCATCATCATCATCATCATCATCATCATCATCATCATCATCATCATCATCATCATCATCATCATCATCATCATCATCATCATCATCATCATCATCATCATCATCATCATCATCATCATCATCATCATCATCATCATCATCATCATCATCATCATCATCATCATCATCATCATCATCATCATCATCATCATCATCATCATCATCATCATCATCATCATCATCATCATCATCATCATCATCATCATCATCATCATCATCATCATCATCATCATCATCATCATCATCATCATCATCATCATCATCATCATCATCATCATCATCATCATCATCATCATCATCATCATCATCATCATCATCATCATCATCATCATCATCATCATCATCATCATCATCATCATCATCATCATCATCATCATCATCATCATCATCATCATCATCATCATCATCATCATCATCATCATCATCATCATCATCATCATCATCATCATCATCATCATCATCATCATCATCATCATCATCATCATCATCATCATCATCATCATCATCATCATCATCATCATCATCATCATCATCATCATCATCATCATCATCATCATCATCATCATCATCATCATCATCATCATCATCATCATCATCATCATCATCATCATCATCATCATCATCATCATCATCATCATCATCATCATCATCATCATCATCATCATCATCATCATCATCATCATCATCATCATCATCATCATCATCATCATCATCATCATCATCATCATCATCATCATCATCATCATCATCATCATCATCATCATCATCATCATCATCATCATCATCATCATCATCATCATCATCATCATCATCATCATCATCATCATCATCATCATCATCATCATCATCATCATCATCATCATCATCATCATCATCATCATCATCATCATCATCATCATCATCATCATCATCATCATCATCATCATCATCATCATCATCATCATCATCATCATCATCATCATCATCATCATCATCATCATCATCATCATCATCATCATCATCATCATCATCATCATCATCATCATCATCATCATCATCATCATCATCATCATCATCATCATCATCATCATCATCATCATCATCATCATCATCATCATCATCATCATCATCATCATCATCATCATCATCATCATCATCATCATCATCATCATCATCATCATCATCATCATCATCATCATCATCATCATCATCATCATCATCATCATCATCATCATCATCATCATCATCATCATCATCATCATCATCATCATCATCATCATCATCATCATCATCATCATCATCATCATCATCATCATCATCATCATCATCATCATCATCATCATCATCATCATCATCATCATCATCATCATCATCATCATCATCATCATCATCATCATCATCATCATCATCATCATCATCATCATCATCATCATCATCATCATCATCACCAACATTATCATTATCTATTTTATGATCATTTTACATGCCATTTAATTTATCTATCCATTAAATAAATAATAAAACAAATATGAAACTTCTATTCTATCTTCAATATTTCATTTCATTTAATGAAATATACAAATGATACATATTTAATGATACAGATAGATATACACCATATAAATTATCCAATTTGTATAAAAGTTGGGATACTTTATTCGGATACCCAAACCGAAGCATCCATCTATATACAACTAACCAATCTTAATAGAATTCTATTATAGAATAAATTTTATACAACATATGTTAAACAATAAATGAATGAATGAAAGTACATTAAATGAATTGACCAAAAGTTGTATAACTGTAAAGGGATAGAATGGGGTGGGGTGGGGTGGGGGGGTGGGATGGGGCAATGAGGTAAATCAGCGAGAAACAAAAGAACAAAAAACAAAAACAGCAGTAAAATAATGAAGTCAAAAACAAATAAATCAATGTTGCTATCATAAAATGAATTATTCATTTAAGTAATATCATATATATATATATGAACTAATTGTCGGTAAACATAAATAAATTTCTATTCTATTATCTATTCGATATTCTCTTGATTATAACATAAACAGATTGATTATCTTTAAAAAAAGAAAAAGAAAATAGCATCAATTTAACTTTATTATATAGATGGTTGTTAGTGTAATAAAACAAATAGGACAGATGCTCAAATAGTATAGTATATAGTCATAACTACTTTTATAAGTGACTATATCCATATATATATATATATGTTGTGTGCATGTATATTATATATGTGTGTGTGTGTGGGTGGGTGGCACTATGTTCCCTTTTGTAAAGTATACAATTTTGTTACTAACACCACTTTATTTCATTTTAATTTATTGCTATCGTTAAATATTCATTGCTTTCTCGTTTTGTTTTCTTTTTCTTTTATTTCTTCTTCTTCTTCCGAATTCAATCAGAAAAAGAAAATGAAGGACAGATTAATTATTTATTACATGATGTTCCGTTTTTTATTTTGTTTATTTATCTCTTATGATTAAGGTGATTGTTATTTTCCTCTTTATGAAATATAAGAAAGTTGAAAAAAAATGATATTCTCTCTCTATTACTAATAATAGGAAAATGAACAATAATGACTGTGTGTGTTAGTTGTATACAAAAAAAAACCCTTGAAATTGGGCGGTTTTTCTACAGACGTTTAAATGGTATATGTATATATATATATCACCTTCTTCGGATCCGTTGGCCGGAAACAATATCAGCAACAACCAACTGTGGGAGAGAACAAACCAGAATTCAGCAGAGGAATAAATCAGGAAGAATCGCTAGAAGTGGATAGTACACACATTGAGGAAAGCCCTCACATGGAATCCTTAAGGCTAAAGGAGAAGAGAAAGACCAAAGAACACATTACGTCAAGAAATGGAGACAGACAGAAATGAGACGAATGAACAAAAACTGGATAGAACTGGAAAGGAAGGCCCAAGACAGAGTGTGTTGGAGAATGCTGATCGGCGACCTATGCTCCATTGGGAGTAACAGGCGTAAGTATGTAAGTAAGTATATATATATCACCTTTTTGAATGAGATTATCAAAAGTAATTTCAAAGTTAGACTTGTAGATATTTCTTTTTCACGTATGAAGAAAAAGGATTTAATAACCACAACCAAACACATTTGATGAGTACAACTGATAATTATACATGGTACAGAATAAAAAAACATATTAGATATTTAGATTGGTACAGTCAAGAGTGGGGAGACTTAGCTCACTTTCTCTCGAAATGCTTACACATGGTCATGTGCATAAAACCACTACGAAGGAAGTCGTACTCACTGCCTTCTGGTGACATTACTGTTGTCTACGAAATTGAGAGGACAAAAACAGAATACCCGGTGCTTTAACCAGGTTGGTGGATACGGAGAGTCCACCTAAGGGAGATGGAAAACCCTGATTCTAAACCAATGGTGCACATGGACCCCCAATATCCTGAAGGAACAAATGGAGTATGAACCTATTGTTCGTCACCACTTACCACGGAACTGTATCTCCTTACGTTGCTCCACTGCCTTGTGGACCAGACCTTTAGGTTGAAGGCTCCGAGTGTATCTCTCTAAGAAAACTATCTAGTTCGGTTTGGGCATCCATGCAGTATCCCAGCCGTCACACAAATCGAATGATGAACTGTGGCGTATATCTATTTGGTGCCTTCTTGTACCTATGTTTATGTGCTTAAATAATAATAAGGTATTTGTGACAGTTAGGATATAAGCTTTACAATTACAATAATAAAACAAATCACATACGCACTTAGAATGAGAGAAAATATTTTTAGTTACGATGTAAAATAATGAGATTGTGCAGTTCCTTTTTTTTAAAAAAAAAGAAATTTATTGACATGAATAAGAGAGCGTTAAGGTGGAAAACTATTTTCATGATTCACATGCGAAAATCCATGTAACCATGGAAACTAAATTAGAAATTAGAAAGAGGGACTAAGATTTAAACACAGTAGAGGAAAACACTAAGTTCAATGGTAGATGAAATTTGTTATTTAAAAAAAACTCAATAGTTTAATGATCAAATATACTCATATTTTGACTTCAGAAAATGGATGAATGGTAAATCAAGATCATTGGTCGATCAAAGTTACACAATAACACCGTTGGATGCTGGTTCAGTGGTCTAGAGGTTAAGAGTTCTCGCTCCAGACCAGAAGCCCTCGTTTATCTCGTTCATCACAATACGACTATATATATATATATGATATCAGCAGAAGTATCCCTTTGAATTGGACCTAACTGTTCAACTAGGCTCTTTTGTTGTTGTTGTTGTCGTTATTCTCAGAGTCAATTCTATTTAATATAAAACTTCCATAAATTGTATAATACAGATATTTTTCAACTATATACCTCCAGTCTTATCAGCAAATCTAACCGGTCCATTATTATTATTATTATTACGACTATTATTGTTATTATTATAAATTATCTATAAAAAGCATTTGCATTGTCTCCATGTATGCACTCTCATTTCCTCATTCTATCTCTTTGCTATGTTGACTATTATAGAGATATGTACTTATCTACTTAGAAGTTAATATGTCTGTTAGTGTGATCGTGAATCTTATTTCAAGCAACAACAACAACAACAACAACATAATAATAATAATAATAATAATAATAATAATAATAATAATAATAAAGTATGCCGAAACTATGAAACTTGAATTGTCATACCCCAGACTCTACCGAAAAGATTATATATATGTATATTCTTGTCTATACATGTATTTTTACTGTCATTATTTATGTATACTTGGACACATACATGCATACATGTATATACACACATATAAATCCTTAATGTAGTTGACATACATACACAAATTATGCACTTTAAAAAGAAGATAAATACTGATTATTGTACAATGTTGTCATCTCCATTTATAGTCCAGATGACAACCGGAAAACAAAGCCTGAGAGAGAAAGAGAGTTTGCATTTAAAGTTTGTTTTTTTTCTCTCTCTTCTTTTTCTTCTCTTTCTATATACAACTAACAAAAGTTATAGACGACATGGCAGTGAATTATAACATTATTAGTCCAGAAACAGTAACTAAGCTATTAATATGACAGAATAGATGCTTTAACTGTATAGATTTGTGTAGGTATCTATGTATATTATATAAATGAATGTTTTAATTTTGGTGTATAGATTAGTAGTCTTTCTTTTATATTACAGAAAGTAGACTAACTATAGTTACAATCATTTGTATAGACTATACACAGAGAAATAATAATAATAATTGAATACATGGAGATTTATGTATTAGTAGTAGTAGTATTGTTTGTTTCTTTAAAATAGATAATAAAATGAATAAGTCAGTAGTATTTGTAGTAGTAGTAGTAGTATGATGAGAATTAGACAATATTAAACAAACTACTATAGTAATCTAATTGACTTCATGTTCGATACATCATTTATGTTTAGTAAAAGTATGTAAATGTACTGATATAGTCGATACACTCAGAAGTACATCTCTATGTGTGTGTGTGTCTAAGTCAATGATTGCATATATACGTACGTACGTACGTACGTGCATGTGTGTGTGTGTTTATGTATGTACACATTTTCATTGAAAAGGTTAATTCACCATGAAATCCGTGAAAAGTTTCCATTCATTGAATAAAACAGAGAGAAGTAAAAAGGAATAATAATAATGGTAATGCTTATATTAAATTAAAGGAATACAACAGAGAAATGATTATTTGAGAAGTAATATGTGAAATAAAACTTTTTTTTTAACAGTATTCTTATAATTTCAATGGTTGAGATCATTTGTCAATTGAAGCTGGACCATCATGCAAAACCTGGAAGCACTGGACGACCGTTTTGTCCTAGTATGGGACTTCTCAAAAGTGCACATCTAAGATCCCGCCACGCAAGATTATTATAAAGTTTGAATTCTATGAGGAGAATCAGTTTCTGTAAGGCCGCAGATATACTGTGTTTCTGTGTGCTATTCACTCAAAAATTTGAATTAAATCCTTTTTGCTAATTATCAATGATGATTTAACAATGTAAACATATTTGTGTAGTCATTATTACAGTATACATTTCAAGAGGGAATGTCATTTTAATGCCTATTGCATTTGACCTAATGTTTCACATTTTAAAATCAATAAGACAGTTGAATTATCCTCTTCATGAAGCTCAATATCTTATATGATGTAAGAACTAGTTATATAATGTTAACCGGTTACTTACTGGAGATGAATACTGTTTATCTTTGATTCATTAGGTTTTTTTGAGTTGTACTAGTAAAAAATAGGGGTAAGTGAACAGTTATTTCGTCCCAGTATTGAAGCATTCGTCAGTAGGAATGTTCAATCACTTCCGATATTGAATCAACACTAATGGAGAATATAGTGGATTTAGACCATTAAATTGGAATAGGATGTTCGGGGAAAAGTGACTAGCATTCACCAATGACCTTTTTTTGATGCTTCATG